TTTTTTTGTGCTTCGTTCGTCCCATTGTGTGCAGTGGGGCTCCCGAAAAAATCTGCTGGCAGTGAACAACATCAGCTCTGTGGTGATCCTCAGTGAGCAGGCCATGTCATCTCATTTTCATCAGCAAGTGGCTGTTGTACAGGTGTCTCCCAACCTGTTTAACGTGACCTTCTTCAGCACAGGAACCACACACAGTCTTCGTGTTGATATGAATGTTAATGGAGTCTTCGCTACTAAGGTTAATTGGGGTTTTTCATTTATTTGCTTGATCATTTGCCTGGTTAGGTGTATGGAGACCAAACTTTCTAAGTCTTTAATATAACCCTTCTCTGATATTCAATTTATTGTGTAATGGAAGTATTGTTACGATGGTAGCAATGATGCTGTGGTGGAGCTGCTTTTCAGATAGCACAGTGACTCAGTAATTCTCTGGGTGCTGACCAGAGAACTTCTGGGTTACCAAAACCTTTCCAACTCAGTATACAGAGGAACTAGTGAATGGTGGCTATTGTGTGGAAGGTCTTGCTCTGTTATTGCATGAATTCCTGTATGATTCCAAAAGAAACTGAATGTATATATTCTTTTGCTTTTTTGATTGGTTTAGGATGCTGTAGTATTCTGGAATGGGAAGCAAGTTACTGTCTTTGAGTGTTCAGGAGATACCTTCAGAAGTGCAGGTAGGACTTAGAACACTGATCAGAGTTGCAATGGTTCTCTTCCTCCAAAGTTACACTTTCTCTTCATTCATGATAGCTGATGGACTGTAATCATAAGTGCAAAGTGAAAAATGTTATTAACACTAATTTGACTTCATATTCCCATTTTGCAGAATAGAAAGATTAGGGTATAAAAATCATCAACAAAATCAGAACTCAAATGCCAACTCCTACATCTGTGCTTTACTCACTAAATATGCTGGGATATAATGTGTGGGTTAACCTCCGAATATGTTGGTATTCCTGTATATGAGTAGCAGTGCAGCAACAGAGGTAAAACTGAAGGTGCTGTGAATCTGTAGGCATAAAATTAAAATATATATCCTCTTAACCTCTGTTAACCCAATCCTGGAAGTACCTTAAGACTAAATGTGCTTCATTCATAGAGTTCCTGAGGCCAGTCACCCACTCGGATGCCTTGACAAAACCAAGTATCTTGTTGCTGTTTCCCACAGATTAGATGTACACCTGACTGTCACACCTAGACTTGAAAGTATCCTCAGAACTAGCATATCATATAGGGCCTTGCACAAAACATGATATGAGGATAAGGCTGCCTCTTTTTATCTTTTAAGTAAATCATTCCAACAGTTGATCAAGAACAGAATTTTTTTGCTACTTCTGTAGCCATAGCTCCTGTTGCCTTCTACAGATAGGTCATGATGATGGCTATTGAAGGCTTTTCTGTTTTGCTTGGGAGAAAGTGTAATCGAGGTTACATAGCACTTACATAGGAACTGGGAAGGAATAGGTTTTAGTCCCAGCTGTCAGGAAAATCTGTTCCATAAATTGCTGTATAAACAGGTAAGTCACGTACATTAGTTTTTTCTGTGATTAATTCTCCCTAAATATTTCTGCCTTGAGAAACAGGTTATGCAGAATTCCATCAGTCCCATCCAAAAGTTTGAGAGTTTAGGCTTTGTCTTTTAAGAACCATCAAGTGTTTTCTGAGAAGTGGCTTAACTTGTCTATATTTACTCATTTATTTTATAACTTTTCCATGCTGAATCAATGCATTATTACCACCAAGGTCCCAACAGTCTACAACACTCATGAAATTATTTAAGAGCCACTCTTCTTTTCTGACAGAGATTCCTTTATCACTCTTCAATTGTAGTTCAATGAAGGAAGGATTGAATTCTTTTAATGGAACCTCACATTGCACTAGTCTTTTTTCTTCCTTTCACCCACCATATCAACTCTTTCCCCTTCCTCTCCCACTTGTTTTCATGGGCAGAGTGTACAAAACACCTGTTTTCAGTAGGAGTCCCAGCTTTTGGTTGTAGTGGCAGAATGGAAGAAGGCTGCAACACCATGGAGTTCGGGAATCAGTAGAGACTGACGGATTGAAAAAAGGATTTGGTGCAAGATAGTGGAAATTGAATACTTTTAGTCAAAATTCCATTTTTTCTTTTTTTTTTCTTTTAAAAAATCTGTTTATTGTGATTGTTCCAGGCTCTTTTCTTTGTGACTCTCCAGTTCTGTCTGTGCATGGAGAAAATCTGTACACAGTTGAGCCGTATCGGGTCCAGGTCCGCACTTGGCAGGTAAGGGCTGATGAAACCATGAAGCAATGAATATGCCTTATATTCTTCAAAGATTGGTGTTACAGCTTAAAAGTTAACTGGATGTTCTGTAAATCTATTAACTCTACCTTTGTCATAGAAAAAATATTTTGAGTATTTCAGCAGAAAGATCTTTGACCTTTTGTATTCTTTAAAAAGTCTGTCACTTTAAATGCTACTGCACTGTAACTAATAAGTATTTATAAAAGAAAACAGAATTCTGTAAGGGCCAGACTCTGAGGATCAAAATTGCACGCAGGTTGAATATGTATATGTATATATTAGACAGGAAAATGAACATACTGAATATTCTTATAATGAAAAATACCCCCTGCATATTCTGTGTGTTCCTACAAAATCTTTTTGGTTTTGCTTAACCTTTGCAGCCTCTGCTAGTCCGTGAGAACAAAAAAGAGAAATCTAATTATCAGAGTTCTATGATACATTATTTTATTTAAGAAATAAATTTTGTATTCAAGAATGGGTGGGATTTATCACAATAAGGACTGATTTAATTTATATATTTATTTTTGCAGCTGTAAAAAAATTTTTGCAGCTGTATATTAAAGGACCTTCAGGGACCTGTATTTCTGTATCCCTCCTAGTTGGAAAAAGTTGTATTATTGAAGAGGAAATTGTTGTAGAAGGATACTTCTAAATTTTGATTTTTTTTTTTTTGAGGCTATACATCCAGCTTTCAACCTGAAACACAGATTGCATTTGTAGAGACCGTGTGTGTGTGTGTGTGTGTAGTTCCTCTCATTTTGCTGGTAGTGATTTGTCTAACATAGAAGTTCAGCAGTTAGTTACTTAACTTGGTAACAAAATAAGTCCCTTCTAGTTAGACTCTGAACACACAAACCTGGTGTTACACGTTTCTTCTCAGGGCACAGTTAAACAGCTGCTGGTGTTCTCTGAAGCAGAGGGGAATCCATGCCTCTTGGATGTCTGTGGAAATTTCCTGGCTGTGGGAACTGATTTGGCTCATTTTAAAATCTTTGATCTCTCTCGCAGGTATTAATAAGCCTTTTAAAAACATCTGTTTATAATTGAGCGTATATTTTGTGGGGAGGGGGAAATCTTTAGTTGGTTTTGATCTGATGAAAAGTGATAGCCGCTTTGAATCTTGAGACAATACATGCAGCCTATGTGAACTGATGGCCTATCCCTAAAGCAAGGGAAGAGCCACAGAATTATTAGACAAATCATGGGATGAGTAACAATAATACTAATAATTTTTAAAAGAGGATATTGTGAGGGATATTTCTGTGTATTTGAAAGCGGGTGGAGAATTTATGGAGGATCAAGAAAAGGATGTCACATGTTTCTGCTGATAACTTGACCAAGACCATAATCTCAGAAGTGTTGAAATAAAGAAAGAAAAAAAAAAGCTAGGTCTCATATCTCCTCATAAATCAACAAACTTGATTCAGTGAATCCATGGAGGAAGTGAACCTACAATTGTGGGTACTCTGTTCTTCCTCCTGTTTAGGTTAAGAGAGAAGTTTATTTGACTGTGTTCCCATGCTGACAAACAGCTGTGGCATGAAAAAGATATGTGCCTGACATGACTCCCAGTTCGAAAATTTATCCGCTAATGAAAAATGTAATTTTGAAAACCTGAAAAACCTCAAGAGTGAAATGGATTCTGTTCTTCCTTACATACTGTCACCAGAGGAATGCTGAAGTCTAGTTAGTTACCCACTTGGAAACTCGTTACCTGTGTTGAGATGGCACAAATTCTGCATGGGACACAACTTGCAAGTTATTGGATTTGGGCAGGTTGTAACTAGCACAAATATTGGATTATGATGTTTGATAGTGGAGAAAAAGTAGCTTAACTCCTGCATGCTATGTTAAATTTTTGTGGCTGGTCATGAAAATACCTCTTCTCAAATGATGACAGTATAGCGCGCTCTAATTTCAAAGCAAGCATAGTTGGCTTAGAATAAATGAGAGGTCTAAACATGTAACCCAAGAATGTTATTTTTACAGAATCAAAGTTTTTTTCCATGGGATTGTATTATTGGTCTAAATTACTGCCACTTCTTTCTGTCACATTCTTTTGATTCATAAGACTTGTCCTCTTTGTTGCTGAATGATCACTGGGTTTGTATCTATACCGGCAGTAAGATTCTTTTGAGATAATAAAAAAGTGGGGGGTAGGGTAGGGAAGGGAAGGGTGGGTGTTAAGTATGTGGATGATACAGTCTTTTGGAACTTTTGTACAGAGGGAAAGTGACCAGTAAGATGATATAAATATCACCCCCCAATGACATTTCTTTCCTCCTGCTCCACAGTGTGTTTTGCATAGACAGAACTTTTACGTGATGGGCTATATTGAACATTCAAGGTACTGTTCAACTTACTTATGCAGGAAAAACAGACCTCTAACTTCAAAATTCTGGTAGGATGTTCTTGCTGTATAGCCCTGTTTTGGGAATCCTGTAGGAACATTGAAGTTTATTCTTGCTGATTCACTGAGGAAAGAGTGTCTCATTAACTTCTTCCTGAAAGAAAGGCAGGTTGCAGCAATTCTCTGGAGAGGAAGCTGGAGTCTGGGGCAGTGGTGTCATAAGGTTGAAATAGTTTGTTTTTAAAAGTCTTACCCATAATTTGAAAAATGTTTTGGCTGATGCATATTGCCAGTTGCTTGCCACCATATGATTATGTTTATTCCTTTCTACAGAGAGGCAAAAGTGCACTGCAATAGCAAGAATTTCTCTGAGCTGTTTCCTGGCCTTGGAGGCATTGCATCTGTCAAGTGCAACGCTAATGGCAATAAAGTCAGCATCCTTGTTAGCAAGGTGAGGCAAAGCTCTTCGCTTACTGCCCTAGGACCTGACCATCAGTTAATAGACTGGTACAGTTCAAGAAGATTACTGAAGACACAAGATTCACTTCTTAGAAATAAACCTACGTGTTCTACGCAGTGTATTGGGTCTTGAAATATCATGTCCAGCATGTAACTAAACACTAAAATTAAGGTATGTTAAGGTTTTGTACGTGTGGTGAGAAGAACGACCCAGAAAAGGAAGCAATATTTCAGTTACAAAAGCTACTTCGTAGCATTTCAAAGAAATCAAAGGCTAACTTGCTAGAATAGAAAAACAGCAAGAAGTTTTCTGATAGTTCTTCCAAAGAATGTTCTTATGTGATTACCAGTAAACAAAACTGAGAGCGTGAATCAGATGAGATAAACATACCATCTGAACTTTACCTTTTTTCTTTTTGACTGCATGCTTCAGCAGCTTTTGTTTTCCCTTCTTGTAGGCGGATGGGAACATTGATTCCAAGATCTGTTTCTATGATGTTGAAATGGACAAAGTTATGCTCTTTGATTTCAAGGCTGAACAGGGAAATGGTAGAGAGAAGCTTTCTTCCGGACAAGGCATTGACAAGTAAGAAGCTTTTATTTTGAGAAGTATTACTTGTGGATTTAAGATAGGAATCTGCCCTGTGAAGACAAGCAACGCCTTGATACTGGCATTCCTCTGCCTTTGTGTAGGATCTTGTACAAATTTAATTATTTTATTTCTAAAGAATTAATTAAAACTGGTGCATTGTATGTCAATCAGCCTGCATCCCTGTCTTTTCCAATGTGTGAACTAGGGAGTGTCAAATGAAGGTATCAGAAAGCAAGCTCAAAATAAGCAGGAGGAGGCGGTTCTTCAGACAGCATGCAGCTGAGCTAAGGAACTCCTTGCCAAAGGAAGTTATAGGTGATGAAGGAAGGGTTCATGGAGGTATTGGACAAACTCACAGAAGAGAAATGCAGTGAGAGTTATTAGATATGTGGGAGCCATATCTGGCTCAAGAGGTCTCTGAGAGGAGGATGATTGGGTGTTGGGGGGGTATGTGTAGAGGTATTATATGACTGGAATCAGGATCCTGATCTTAAAATAAAGAAAAATCTTGGGAAATCTTGGAAAGCTACTCTTCCATGAAGAGTTTACAGGGTAGGAACTGAAAAGAGGACATTCTGAAGCTCCTCCTAGGAAAAAAGTTAATTTCTAAGTCAAATACAGGATGTTTTTGTATGGATAAAAACTCATGAAATGCCTATTTAGAACTGACAGCTTTGTTTTCATACAAGCTGTTCTGTGGCGAATACATTAGAAATCCTAGTAGCAAGGCAGCAAAATGCAGTGAACTAGGAATTCTCATGGAATTACGGTGGAATGTTAGGGTACAAATTCCCATCTGGTTTTACAATAATTTTTTTGACTGTATTTTTCTTAAGAAAAAACAGTGTTAGAATAGAAGGTGGTTTGCTTTTTTAGCAACTATCTGCTGTAGATATTACAAGCAAAAAAGGATTTACTCTCCTTATCACTGAAGAACAGAAGAAACTACCCAGCTCATCAAAAACTAAGGATAGTGCAAATTTGGGGCCTTATGTCTTGGTCAGTTATGCAAACAGTGTAATAATGAGTAGTGAGAAAGTTGTTTTCAAGTGTAGTATCTTGTGTAGCCCAACAGAGGCCACCACAAACTAGTAATGCTATTTCACTGATATTTAAATGCTAGATGTTGTCGGCGTGAATAATCCATTTATCTGTGCTTCATTTTAGAGTATCTTGAAATTGGAATGAGTAAAAACATGGGAAAATAATAATAATAATAATAATAATAATAATCATCTACACATCTTCCCCTTCTCTCTCTCCTCCTGAGGCAGAATCTAAGCGCTCCCAATTTTTTACACAAATACTGTTTTTCAGTTTGCAAGTAATTTATTTTGAATTCAGTGGCATGAATAGGACATGGTGTATTTCTGCATCCCTCTGAATCTCTCCCTTAATTTGCCTTCCAGCCCTACTCCAATCCTCCTCACAAAGTCCACCCTTCAGTGGTGACCTGTCCTGGTTTCGGCTGGGATAGGGTTAATTTTCTTCCTAGTAGCTGGTATAGTGCTGTGTTTTGGATTTAGTAATTAAACCACGACATGACACCAAATGAGAAAAATATTTTAATGATGTCTTTGGCTTCTCTCTTTTTTCAAATTTGACACCTATTTATATTCTGTATTTTTTCAGAAGAATCCTAAGCCATTGCTAAAATAGTCTGAATTCTGTATTTCTAGAGTCTTAACAGGGCCAGCACTGAAGTAGTATTTAAATGCCCGAAGGAGGCAGTAAAATGTTTCTTATTTAAACTGCTGCCAGAGAGTGGCTTTCCTAAGGCTACAGGGGTAGTCCTTGTGCTTAATGTGCTATTTCACAGTGCCTCGGAATTCTTCATACACAGTATAAAGTTCAGGCACAGTACTGAGGGAAGGGAAGGAACTACGGCATATCTGGGGACTGAAGTCCCCCAGCTGCAGGTCAGGTTCAGCTGCAACTCTGGAGTTTCCCTCAGCTCCGAGAAGTTCAGCGGTTCAAAGCATCGATCATGCTGCATGCCTAGGTCTCTTTGCTGAACTCTCAGTAGAGAGAGATCTGTTGCCTGAGAATATAAACTAATTTCTTTTTTTTTTTTTCCCCATCAGTTTAATCACAGTTATCTAGTTGTGATCTCTTATGACCGCTGCTTAGCTGGATTTGAACGTGAGGCATATGTACTAGAAACTCTCTGTACTGCCAATCTAAATGCACATCAGTGTACTCAAGCTATCTTTAACCTGGCTGGGCATTTCTAGCAGGGCTGGCAATAAGCACCTTGGGGCACGTTGTAAAACCCAGAAGAAGACAGAGCTGAGGGTAGTCCCCATGTTACAGTACCTACACCAGTAGCAGTTGCTAAGGTAGATCATTTGAAGGATGTTCAAGTATTTCTGTAGGACACGTAATCTCAGTGGAGACAGATTTCAGGTGCCTGTTTGTATTTGTCGCAGTACCAGCTTTTCTACTGAAATGCTTTTATGCCCTAGAGTTATGGTTAATGTATACAGAACAGCAGTACCAGCTTTTTTTCTACTGAAATGCTTTTATGTCCTAGAGTTATGGTTAATGTATACAGAACAAACTAAAAGTGGCATTGCCAAGTATAAGGTATTAGGAGGTAGGAAGATGTATATGGTTAATGTTACAATGCAGAGGTACTGGTACAGATAACTGATCATCATCTGAAAATTATCCCTTTGTTTACATTCATATGCTGAATGGGCTGGAATTATTTTGTCTCCCTTTCTACATTTTTTTTCTTGTCTTTTAGTAGGTCTGCTGTGGACTATCCAGAGTTGCACAGTCACGTCCCTGCTTGCCATTTCTGGGACCAGAGTGAACCAAGACTTTTTGTATGTGAAGCAGTTCTTGAAACAGGCCTACAATATCCAGACCAGAAGAAAAAACAGACTGAGAGCACAGTATGGTCTTTTTGTTTGTTTGTTTTACCTTGCTTTACATGGAGTTCTCCCTGATCAAGTAATAAATCATTGGTCCTCCACTAAGGATGTGGGGAGTAGGTAGTATACATTATTTTGTACAAAAATGAACAGTGAAACTACCTGTTTGGTGTCTGTGGCTTCAGGCAGTCACTGTACGTTAGCTTTCTGTTTTAGCCCTAGCTTGCATACAGTGATGAAGAAAAGGAGGTGATTTCTTTATCCATGCTAGAATTTTGAGGATGATCATAATGCAAGCTTGTATCTGGACTACAGTCTTTCAGGTGACATTATTGGGTGAATTGATAATCTAGAGTTTTGATACTTATTCTCATTTTTAAAAAAATAATGCAGATTTTATATCTCAAGGCCACTTTTAGCAGCAAGAATTAATTTGATAGGATAACAGGGACCCTGCCATTCAGATGAACAGTGAAGTACACACTTCCCACCCAGTTCTTGTATCTTTTGCTTTTCTGGACAGTCATTGTACATCTTTATGGTACTCCCCAAATTATCTTTTATGATCTTTTTTACATTAGAAAAAAGATTTCATTTTTATTGATCAGAAATGATCTAATCAACGATTTCTTTCATCAGACTAACAATTCTTCCCCGCTTCCCCTGCTAATGTGCTTGTAGTGGTCCTTATCATTTTGTCTGTACAGAACTGCCTGTGCTTCATAAATATTCCATTGATTTGAAATGTCCATGTTGATTTAAGGTTTTCTGGTTCGTGCATGGTTTTAGTTAAACCTCTTCCACTTAGAGATAGAAAGGTCTTTGTTTCTTTTGTTGATTGAAACGACCTTAGAAAAATCATGGGAAGATGAATGTAGAAAGGAGGAATGGAATAGGGATGTCTCAAAAGGCCTTGGTAGGGTCTTCTAGCAAAGAGAAGAACACTTCAACCCCATATTCCCAATGTAAACAAGTAAAAATGTTTGGCTTCTATATAAAGTTGAAAAACAAAAAGATATAAAAGGAGTGTAACGTACTTTTTGGCCCTTATTCAACAGAACTTTTGACTGTGTGCTTATTCTTTAAGAAATGAGAAGTCTGATTAACTTTAGTTGGAAATAAATGCTTCATTTTGACTTAGGTCAGGTCAATATTTAAACTGTTACAGAAACTATTTTTAAATGGCTGGTATATTCCCTGGGAACTCAAAGCAGTCAGTAAGCTGCTGAACTTATAATAGAAATATTACAGTATTTAAAAAAAAAAAAAAAAAGAAAACAGTTGGGAGTATTTCTTTGACCTGAGTCAGATCTGTCAGAGAGACTTCTAGAGCAGCAATCTGTGGCCAGGGACTTCCCTCTTTATGGTCAGTGAAGTTGGTTCCTGAAAGGCAGAGGTGGAGGTCCCTTTGCAGTAGGAACACAGTAATGTACAATGAGTCGTGGGCTACTTACTATAGGGAGGAAGCGTGCAGCTCTGCCCTCGCCAGCAGGTGTGTGCGTGTGAATGTATATGTCATACTATTTTCAAGAGAAGGTTCTGCCAAGTGAAAATGGAAAATAAAAACAAAATGAAAGAAGGATATTGCAGCATAAAAACAAAACAATGCTTTGCTTCCTTTTCCAGATGGATGTTTGGATTATATCATTCTTCAGTACTGAAGAGCATGGCCTTTTGCTTCAGGACAGCTTTCCATTGCCTTCATCCTACCAGGTTCTTCTGGGCATAGAGGTGCCACATTATTATTTTGCAAAAAAGGTGAGGAAATCTTTCACAATTCCTTCCCTTCCCAGAAGTTCAGACTTTTCACTGTGTAGGGATCAAATTTAACCAAATTGAGTCTGGGGTAAGTAGAGCAACTCCAACGGCAGTTGCTGCATCACGTGTAGAAATGACAAAAAGATAATTCTAATGCAGGTGTACTTGGCAGTATTGTGGAAATTGTACTGAATTGGCTTTTCATGGGTGTTGCAAACCAGATGTGACGTAGAACACAGGAGACACAGTAATTACCAGGGAATGCAACTGAAAAAGGGATGTGAAAAAAGTTCTCTTTCTACTTTATGTAGTCACCGTGCCTATTGCAAGTAAGGGGGGGGTGGGGTGTCAACTTTAAGTAGGCCATAAGAGGGGACATTTCCTACTAGCTTCAGCAGAAGTAACCCATTTCGTTCTTGGAATTCAGCTTAATCCCCACAGAATACCAAAGAGAGCGAGAATACTCATCTTGCACTATCACCAAATGCCTATGTGCTACAAATACCAGGAATGCATGCTTTAACTTCTTAAACTTGAATATGAATCCAAAATTGTTTGCATCTTAGGTAAATAATACCATGCATACTGGAAGAAATGAAGCCTATTACCTACAGATTGGTTTTCTGGTTAAGCTCTGACCTGAGTTTCTTAGTGCCTCTTAAGACGATGATTTGCACTGCTCCCTTCTTGTAGGGAGAGCTTAACAGTCTGTTTATTCTACCAAGGCATTTATTTTTGTAAAATCTGCAGGAACTTAATATTAATGAGACTTCTAATCCTCTAAATCTTCTGAGTAAGGCAGACCAATGTGATCACATAAATCTAATTTCATGTGGTTCAGGCGCAGTGTTAAACAGGGAGAATGTATCTAGATGTTTTTCTTCTTAATATATTTAGATTCAGAGCGGTACTTTGCAATTTAGCCCCCTTCCAAAGAACTGACTGTTGTCACTCTTCCTGCGCAGATCTGGCTTCTAGAGTTGCACTCTATTTTACTTTCCTTTTTCCCTTAATTTGAAAGGTCAAAAGTGATCTGCTGCATTTTCTAATCTCTTTTAACACTTCCCCCATCATGTGTCATGCTATTTTACTTTGATAGTACGTCTATTTTTTCTTTTTTTTTAACTCTGTATTGCTGCCATTAGTTGTTTTTTCGGAGGGGATGTGTCTATAAACCTGTAAGTATCTGCATTATTTTGTTCCTCTTCCTTCATTCTCTGCTTTTCTCTCTTCTGTTTCCATTTTCTTCCCTCAGTAGGTTACTGTATCTTAGTGACTAGGTTACTTGTTATATAATAATTCATGTTGCAAACATGATTTAGTATACGAACAGAGTCTGCTTTAAATATAGCAAGTCGAGTTGATTCAACAAGTCTGTTTTGACCAGGTTTCATTCCAGGGTTTTTCCTTATTCATTATAACGTCTTTTCTGTCCTGGTTCCAGAAATTCCCCAAATTGTAGTCAAACGCATTTACAGTAAAAGAAATCAAAAGTGCATCTAATACTCTCATTGTATAAGAATATAATACTATTTTTTTTAATTGGCTTCTGTAAAGCATTTAGTTATCTCATCTAACTATACAATTGGGGTAGAGTGTATGTGAAATTTGGTATCCTTCATGACTCAGATGATCTTCCACTGTGTTTGGCTTGTGAAAGTTTCCTTGTTACGCTCTAGACAGATCATTTGATATTGATGATTGACTTTATCTTTATTCTTTTTCTGAATAATGGTTAAATTGCTTTGAGCTGCCTTTCAATGACTGGTGAAAGTATCACTGAAGCTCCAGAGGCTCCGGAACTGCCCATTTTATGGGGAAGGGTTTGAATCTGAGCTTTAGCATTCATAAGCTTCACATGAAGGCAAGAATAAAAGAATTGGGTCTATATAGTTAACTTTCAGAACAGTAGACTCATTTTTGAGAAGAGACTAACCTTAGAGAAATGTTTATCTGAAATATTCAGAAATCTGGAGACTTAAAATAATAGTTGCTATTATAGTAATAATTATAATAATAATATATATAAAATAATAATAGTTATGACTATAGTAATAGGAGGCTGCCTCTCCTGTGGTATTTTACCGACCTCCAAACTATCACTAACATACTGTGATTGTTCGTTATGATATACTAATGTCTTCTATGACATTCCATATTTTGGGGCATTTTCTAGGAAGTTCTGAAACATTGCAACTATTGTCACTATTGATCATTGTCCTGCAGAAATAGAAAACTTGGACTTTAGTGGAAATAATGTAATTAATTACACGTACAAAGGAGTAAGTTTCAACCTACTTGATACCTAAATGATAACATTCTCATTGTAGCCGGGAGAAGCTGAGAAAGGACAAGCAGAGTCTGGCTCAATAAAGGTGTCTCAGATGGTTGCGAGAAGACCCATGAGAGATTTCATTGGATTAGGAGACTGTGATAAGACTACCCGGGATGCCATGCTGAACTTCAGCTTCTATCTGACTGCTGGAGACATGGATGAGGCCTTCAAATCCATCAAGCTGATAAAAAGGTATTGTAAGTATTTGTATGTATTTCTTTATGGGTACAGTTTGTTTTCAATTAAAAGTTTGCGTGAAGTTTTGATCCTCCTAAATTCTCCTGACATTTTTCCTCTCTGATTTCATTCTCCCTTTCATTTTTAACAAGATGAAATATCTTTATCTTACAGACATTTTAATGTATTCTCTGCTTATTCTTGGTCTACAAGACGTTGCAAGCTCTGTGGATTCTTTTTTACTAAATGGGAAAAATGATTGATAACAAGGAACCTTATTCTGTGTCTGAATTGCAAAAATCTCACCTTATCACTAGAAGAAAATGAACATTCACAACTTTATTTATACATCTAAAATAATCACAGTAATACCAAGTATTACAAATTTACCGACCACATAGCTGATTTTTAAATTTAAATGTACATTATTATAATATGGATATTGCAATATTAGAAGAAATAATATAATGTCTTTTAAATATTCCTCTGAATGGCAAAAATCTCACCTTATCACTAGAAGAAAATGAACATTCACAACTTTATTTATACATCTAAAATAATCACAGTAATACCAAGTATTACAAATTTACCGACCACATAGCTGATTTTTAAATTTAAATGTACATTATTATAATATGGATATTGCAATATTAGAAGAAATAATATAATGTCTTTTAAATATTCCAATATTTTATTTAAAAAAAACCCTGCAATTAATCATAGCATATTATTTCTAGAAAAGATTTTCCAGAAAGTAATGCAGGCAAATGAATACAAATCTTAGTTGGTTTTTACAAACCTACTGCTAGAAGAAACTCTTTGTCAGCTTTATGGTATTCTATCCTGATAGTCTAGAACAATGTAGTTGTTCTAGAGCATCAGTCTCTGCAGAGCGTTGCTCACTTTGAACATGGTGCAGAGCAGCAGTTGGGGTTGAGTTTCTTATTACATCAGAACTGAGTGCAGAACAGAACTCAAGAGCCAGCTTGATGATCACATTTTAACAAAGTGTGGAAAAGTATGGTGGAAATAATGATAAAGAAAAGCAGTGTACTCAGCTGGGAGCGACACAACGGTCCTAAAGAATTTGTAACATTCACAGCTCATGGTCCTTCAAACCTATCAGTAACTGTGCTCAGAGTAGCATCCTTAGAGTTTTTAAACATCTGTCATTGCCTCTAGTTCCTGTATCCTAAGTATTTCTGCATAATAGTTTTTGACCTTTTGTTTTTCTTCCTGAAAGTTACGTGCACGTGACTTCTGTGAGCCCATGTGCTTCTCAGGGTCAGGCTTATAAACACTATGCCTATTTCCAAAGGTACTAATTATTTTCATTTCATTACCATATTAAGTTACCAGGCAGGTCTTTTTTAAATCTCATGCTTAAGTCCTGTATATGTGTCTTAGTCTCCAATTTGGGTGCTTGAGTGGCAGTTATATTCTCCAATATTCACTGTGTTATGTGCCATTGAGCATTGCTGGGCAGAGCTGGGTGTCCTGACAGAGCACTCTAATCTGAAAATGTCACAGCAAATGTTAAAGCAAGCTGGGAAGAAAAGAGGTTAAGTTGGGCTGAAATATCTGTTCTTAATAATCATTTCCAATAATGTAAGTTAATAGTATCTGTGATTATTAAGGAGTCCAGGTAACCTTTTTCTGCAGATATTTGTCCTCATTGTAACACTGAAGTAGATTTTTTCAGTGACATGTGTGACCTGTTCTAGCTGCGTACCCTTTTAATTTTTAACGGCATGTCTGTTTACATATAGGATAAACCCAAACCATTGTCTCAGGATACAAAAGAAGCATCTGAAAAAATGCAACTTAATTCTTCTGCATTCCCTTACTTTACAATTAGAATGGTTAGAGTTGCTTTTGCTTTTTACTGTCTGGGCTATGCTGTGGCTGGGGAGCAGGTGTTGCAGCTAATAAGTTCTTTGAAAAGGGGTGGATGGAAGGACTGAAGATCATGAAATTTAAACAGCTGTTAAAGTCATCACTAATTCTATAGTGAGTTTTCTGCTTTCTCAGATTGCCTGTTAACTCTAAAGCTATTGCCACTGGTCTCCTATAGCTTTTTACATTATTATTAGGGAGCAGGATAACTTTATGCAGACAGAGAAAACGTGTTTGGTTGCCTCTTTTCTATATTCTCATTGCATACATTCTGTGTCTGCTACAGCTGACCCTGCTGACATGTAGCTGTGATGCTCTGTCAGGATTCTGACAATCCAACATTCTGTGCTGTACAGCAGAGGGAGAGGGCAATATAATATAATATATATAAAATTATGTGTTTTATACATATGTATATAGATGGAGCCCATCCAAATAATAGTTGAGGGCCTCTGCCCACAAGAGTGAGCTTTGTGATGTCTTTCAACCCTTAGTTTTAAATTATAGCATATATTTATAGAAAACAACTCTAATGTAGATCTCCTTGTATATAGATGAGCCCATCCAAATAATAGTTGAGGGCCTCTGCCCACAAGAGTGAGCTTTGTGATGTCTTTCAACCCTTAGTTTTAAATTATAGCATATATTTATAGAAAACAACTCTAATGTAGATCTCCTTGGAGATCCTTCCCCTTTCAAGTCCACTCTTTCAGCACGGTGACTCAACATAGTCGTTTTCCAGGCCACGGCGAAACCGAGCGGTCAGGGTACGGCTAATGACAATGACCCGGGGTGCCATGCAGTCCTCACGCCTATGAAGGATGTTCCATATGAGAATGGCAGCTGCCAGCGTGGCCAAAAGACAGGCTCCAATGTTCAGATAGCAAGACCAAGAGAGGTTGGTGTATGGGCCGATGCGGTAGAAAGTCACCAATCCAATAACCAGAACAAAACCTGCAAGGAGAATGAGAGAATTCTTTTTAATGTGTTATTCTCTTGGGTTTCTGTAGTGGCAAGATGCCATAGGCCAATATTCACGAGTCTGTAAAGCCTTTCCATTCCTATTACGATGTGCTGTATGTGTTCTTGAAGGCATATTTGGGCATGATGATATATGCAAAGACTGGGTGTCTGAAATGAGGTCTCAATGTTAGGTTTAAATCTGATCATTCTATTTAAATTTCTTAATCCCGCTTAGCTGTATTTCATGTTGTGTTTTTTTTTCCTCCATCCACTTGTCTCACTTACACAGATGTCCTCTTGCTTATTCCTGTTGCCAACACAGAAAACTGGTATATTAATGATAATAATAACAATGAAAATCTTTTATTCCAAATATGGTACACTTATTCTGAAATTTTAAAATGTTTATTTAAGGCAGGCCACTATTGTAACCTGCAAAGATGATGAATAGCTAAATATCTTACAGAAATAATAAGAAAAAAAGTACAGAAGCTTATAAAAAAGGGAAGGTGAAATAAATGGGACTTTATGGTCCTACTTTTTCTATGCTGGAAAAAAGTGTTATGAGGCAGGAGTAATATCATGCCTCCAGAAGCTACCAAAGGCAAGGTTTCCATTCCCTTCCTAACCTTATGCACGGTAGTAAGTTCCCTAAAAGGTAGTTAATATTTGAGGGATAACACTGCACTTGTCCAGCATTTCCATCCAGATGTCACAATGTGATTTGCAAAAAACATGAAAAAAATATTTCCCACATTCTTTTTGGTAGACACCACTGATGAATAGTAATGTTATTTCAGAGATGAGGTGGGGTGACTTTTCTAGTCATGCAGAAGGTCCATATTAGAACAAGGGGCAGAATCTGTATCCCTTGACTCCTACTTTTTTGTTACTGTCCTTTCCCTGAAGAATGCATCAATAAGCACACAATTACTTTTCTGCCCTGTTTATTGCAGTAGTCTCTCTTCCTGTCCCTACTCTCAAATAAAACTACTTTTCAGCTTTTTAAGAGAAGTAATTTATACATGTGATTAGATTGAAACAAACATACAAAGAGGCAAATATGCCTCACTAACCGAAAAAAGGTTTTCTCCTTGTTCTACACATTTCCTTAACCACCACCACCACCATAACACAAGAAATATCATTGACAAAAGGACCCCTTTATGAAGGAAGACTAGAATAAATAAATGCCCATAAACAGCCAGAGGATTTGTAGATACTATCTTCCTAAGTTCATGGGCAAGGACAAGTCAAGAGCAAGTAAGTCCTAGTGGCTGCATGCTGTTTTCTCAGTTAGCCGCAGTGCTTGCAAACACTGTTCCCCCAGGTACATGGCAATGCTCTAAAATGGCATGATACCATGGTCCTTGATTGTCCATGAAAGAGCACATCCTGAGTATGCATTGTATCAAGTTTCTTTCTAAAAAGGGTACTAATAATGCAGTGAAGATGGAAAAGACACAAATCGTGTACAGGTAAAAAATGTAGAGGAGGGAAATGAAATACAAATAGGAGAAAAAAAAATCAATCACTACTTAAGTAGATGTGACGCTTTTACTATTCTGAGAGTCAATAATGTGAAGGCTGAATCCCCCTCCTAATAAAATAAGCAATGAATGAGTATTAATTCAGGAGATGTTTGGCATCCTCAGCTCTCGTGTCTACTTAGAAGGTGGTTTGTAACTCGGTTGCTTGCTACACCTTCTCTTCCTGAAGTAGCACTGTCCCACAGATGGCATGTACCAGAGAGGGTTTGAAGTGAGGCATCTCTTCCTAAGGATATATGAGGAGGAAATAGGTTCTTACAGCAGGAGTAGCTCTTTCCTGCTCTTTGCCACTCTGCAGTAGCCTTTGCTGTGAAAAAAAGTCTTAACATACTCTGGATGGGTTTTTAGGCTGTCAAGTCAGTTGTAAGGACAGCGATGAATAACTCCTTGATTTTATCAGTAAGTCTAGTAGTTATTTAATGGTTCAGCTTAATTATAAATGAACAAGTTTCATCTGGGAAAAATGTGGCCACATGGAGCACGCTGACTTAATTGAGTTGCAGAAATCACTGATCTGTAAAATAATTGTTTGCCAGCACTCCCAAGTTGAGCCTGCAGACTTACTTAGGAGGCCATTTTAATGTTAGCCAAGTTGGAGATAGGATCCTATGCTGGTTTTGGCTGGGATAGAGTTAGTTTTCTCCGTAGTAGCTAGTACAGGGCTGTGTTTTGGATTTGTGCTGGAAACAGTGTTGATAACACAGGGATGTTTTAGTTACTGCTGAGCAGTGCTGACAGAGTCAAGGCCTTTTCTGCTCCTCACCCCACCCCACCAGCAAGCAGGCTGGGGGGTGCACAAGAAGTTCGGAGAGGACACAGCCAGGACAGCTGACCCCAACTGACCAAAGGGATATTCCACACCATATGACATCATGCTCAGCATATAAAGGTGGGGGAAGAAGGAGGAAGGGGGGGGACGTTCAGAGTGATGGCGTTTGTCTTCCCAAGTCACCGTTACGTGTGATGGAGCCCTGCTTTCCGGGAGATGGCTTTTGCTTTCCCTGTTAAACTGTCTTGATCTCAACCCACAAGTTTTCTCACTTTTACCCTTGCGATTCTCTCCCCCATCCCACTGGGGGGGGGAAGTGAGCGAGTGGCTGTGTGGTGCTCAGTTGCCGGCTGGGGTTAAACCACATCAGATCCCAATACATAGGTGGTCACCTATTTCAAAGTATACGGGTTTGGAAGTTGCTTCTCGACTCCTGTTCAAAAAAAATGCTGAGTTACAGTTGAGGTAGAAAAATTGTGAAGTTGTGCTTTTGACAAAGCTTAAATCTTCATTTTTTTTCAGTAATCACTGTTGGATGACACACCTTATATCAGATTATGCATGCTTTTTAAAATCCTGCTCTCTTGAAGCCAGGCAGATGTTATCTACATCCTTGGATGGACTGTTGAAGGCAAATCATCTGTCTTTGAAGGAGTTAATTTTTCTGTATATTTATATGCTTAGCTCATCACCACGTGAAAGTGGAAATGTTCTCTCCTTGTGCATTCAAAATCCTCACTGAAGTTTGCAAATTTTTTTTTAGCGTTCACAGAACACTACTTTTGTCCCCAAAGCCACAGTTAATTGTGCTCTTCCTTTTCTGTGATGTTTCCTTGAATTGCTTTTGAATTCTCATGACTTTGCTGTTTGGTGTTATCTGGGTCTTGTATGATTTTAATCTATTTCTTTATTGTTAGAAGTAATAGCATACAAGAAAATTGCAGCAGAGCTGGGAAACAAAATAGTTTTCCCTCATTTCCAGTGTCATTCTCCGAGTTCAGTTTGTCCTGAGGCACATGGTAGAGAAGAGAGGGGGAGATCAGATCCTTCATTGTGGAATACATCAGGTTTTTTAAACTCTCCTCTGAGATGGCTGGGTTCCCCATCTGTGGAACCAAGATGATAAAACTTCTTTTCCTCTGTGTTTTCTTTGTATTTCAGGGCTTTGGGAGCAGAGCGTGCTAGTTGTAATGTGATTATAGAGAATGTGTATCTCTACATCTACGTTTGACATCTTTAGGTCTTATAATACAGATAAACACTGATAGTCCTTTGCTCTTCCACTTTTCAAAGGATGATGGATACCAATTTTCTCATAAAGGTAGGAAATTGAGAGAAAGGGAGATTGCTTGCACCTCCTGCGGCCAAGTTGTGGACCTGTTTCTTTTCCTTCTGGTTTAAAATTTTCAAGAAGGAGGGTATTGAGGTACAAATCAAGAGACCCATCTTACTGATGAGTCTGGCACATGACACACAACTTTGTGTGGTCAGTTTTTCCTTTCAGTTTTCCTTTCAGAACTCTTTTCCAGTTCACATGCACTTTCACAGGGAATCCAAAAACCATTAAATAAATGTGTGAAGCAAATCATAAAACCTTAAGCAGGAAGAACTTTGAACCTAAGCTGTTTGTACCAGTGACCACTTACAGGTACCTCTAAGGGATAGTTATAAATATTAACAACAGTCCATTTTACACTATCTTGCATTATTTGTTTGAGGCTCTCTTGGCAGAGGGAGCTAGGTTCAGGAACACGAGATACACAGAGTAACCCTGATGCTGTGTCGTGTCTTGCAGCTTAATTTCCAGTTACTGAATTGTGACTGGTGCTTTCCCACTGCAGCTTTACAGGTATTTACTCTACCATTATCTCTAGCTTAGAGAAGTAATGGATGATTAGCACTTCTAGTTTCCTTACTGAAATTCAGGTCTGCTTGTGCAAACCTGCTGGGAAAAACCTTTAGGGTTCCTGGTGCATGTGAGAGCTGTACTCCCTTGGGTGTAAGTTTTGCCCCGTTCTTTGCTCACTTAGCCAAGGCAAGCAGCAGTGGTCTATACACATTCCTTTATGGCACAGTAAAAGTAAATAAATGCTGTAGGAATATTTTCAATATTTGAACTTTTTTCCAAACACCCAGCTTTTAATTAAATTACTTAGCTTTTTCTTCCTTGCTTATGTATCACTTATGGCCAATTGCTGTCCTAAATGGTCTCACATCTCATGCTAGACCAGCCACCTTCATGAGCTCCCTTCCATCCAATGGAGAAATTATCCACCAGGAAAAAGCACTAAGGCTTCCTTACAGGTCCCAAAATAAAACTATTTATGCTAGCAAGACTATTTCCCTTCGCAGGCCCTTTGCCTGAACCCTGATCAGATGAGCAGCCAGTCATGCAAGAGGCTTTCTCTCCTTTTGCAGTTCTGTGCCAGTGTCTGAGCGGGGGCGGGGGGGAACTGGGAGATAATGGGCCTGAGAGCTCCCCGACTTGGCAGATAGCAGGAGTGAGTCACTGGAGCTTTTGAGTGAAAAATGTAGGGTCTGTTTAGAATACTTTGCTGCAGCCTAGACAGGAACTGACATTTGAGAAGAGAGAAAAACATGACAGAGGTGGGAGAGTTGGAAGCATGTTACTGTAGAGTTTCCACAATTAGTTTTACAGTTATACCAGTGTA